AGAGGAACATGTGTAAGTGGTGGATCTAGGCACTCCAAATGGTAGCCTAAGTCGCACCCATCACACAGCAGCAGCCTTTCTTCCCGGTCACAGTAGTTACACACCTACGGGAATCAGGGAAGTTTGAGTTACAGTCTGTATATACCTGGGGAATCAGTTGGAAAAGTTTGAGTTACAGTCTGTATATATCTTGGGGAATCAGTTGGACAGTAGCTGGGGTTACAAACAGTTTTGAGGTTAGTCTACAGGGGTCCCAGTAAGGAAAGTTTGAGTTAGTGTCTATGTATACCTGGAGAATCAGTAAGGGAAGTTTGAGTTAGTGTTTATGTATACTTGGGGAATCAAGGAAGTTTGAATTAACAGTCAATATATACCTGGGGAATCAGGTAGGAAAGTTAGAATTACAGTCTACATATACATGGGGAATCAGGAAAGTTTGAGTTACAGTCTACATATACCTGGGGAATCAGTTACGAAAGTATATTTTATAATCTGTATGTTCAAATAATTGAGTTTAACCACTGACTGTCATTGCACTGAATGCCTCTCCAAAACAGTTTTGTCTTATCATACCTTATTTCACAGATTAAAAGTGAAGTCAATCAACTGGCATATTGTTCAATATTTTTATAATTATTCTGTAAAATAACTATTTGTAGACAATTTATACTATATCAGGTATTACAATTAATCTACAAATTATTAAAAATATATAAAAGGGTATGTGTACTGGCTTTATATAATTATTTTGCATTTCATATAAGGGGTTATTATTGGGAAATACCCAGAAACTAAAGAATGACCCTGCCATCTGATAGAATACACCATTCCAATAATGGCATTAGATAATCACCTCAGGGAAGTTAGTTGAAATTCAAAACAGTTCAATTCAGACTACACTCAAAGATTGTAGGCAAAACCTTTTTTTTTTTTTTTTTTTTTTTTTTTTTTTTTTTTTTTTTTTTTTTGCAAAATATCCTGGAAATAAATGTTCTGAATGTGTGTATTTTTATTGGTTATAATCCTGCCAGAACATACCACCAACCAGAAAACTTAAAAACTCACCTCACAGTAAGTTGGATGTTCCTCTGGAATAAAAACTTCTTCTTCCTCTTGTTTACTGACCGGAATCTCTTTTTTCAATGCTGCCCCGAGAGCATTTTCGAACAAGTACAACCTCAAATGCTATGCGATCTTGGGGACAAGTTGGATTGGTCTGTAAGTCAGCAAAAAAAAAAAAAAAAAAGAGAAATTGGGAATGGAGAAAACAAAATACCTCTAGCCTTTTGAATAAAGTGATACTTGACTGAGCATTATAGTATCAAAGGGATTTTCCAACTAACCAAACTAGGCAAGGTACCTAATACAGTGCTTGCCCTAAACCAGCCTCAATCACACAAAATAACTGACGGCAAAAAGTAAAATGCTTCCACAAAATACATGTCATATCTAATGTTCAGGGGGCCAGGTAAATGACTATCAATATTGTGGAACAAGTATCTACAAGCAAAGACACACTAAAGTAACTAAATACCATAAACAGATCAGAAACAATGTAGTAGAAATATTAAAAAGTTTTTTTTCTTTTTCTTTTTGTTATCACTAGTACATTCTTCACATGCCCTAAGTGCCACATCAGGAAAAAAATCAGTTATTAGGAAATCTAAGGCTATATTACTGTTGGTTAACAAAATGTTTTTCAATCTGCACCTTAGTCAAAATTCATATATAGTTCTCCAGTAACAAGAAGATATTGCAAATAATCTAATAATAAAATGAATAATGTAGAGAATAATGAAAAAGGGACTAACACCTGCGAAGCTGCCCAACACCTGGCTATACTGAAGTTCAACTAGGCCAGTAATATTTTCATGCTATTTATATTTGTCTTGGATTAATTTGTTTCTTGTAGTAAAAAAGGAAAGAAAAGAAAAAGAAAGAGAAACAGTAAAAATAAAATAAAATAAATAAAATAAAATAAAATAAAATAAAATAGAAAGAAAAGAAAATGAAAAGAAAAGAGAAAGAAAAGAAAAGAAAGAAAAGAAAAAGAAAAGAAAGAAAAGACAAAGAAAAGAAATATAGAAAAAAAGAAAAGATAAAAAAAAGTATGTAAAGAATTTGCCTTGGGTTAATTTATACCACTTTAATGAATAATAGACTTCATAAGATGGATATCTCCATGATCATAGTTCCCTATAACTGTTCCATAAAATACTAAAATAATTTTTTTTTTACCCAATATATAGAAGGAATATATATGCAGGAATTTGGTTATATGGCAGTAACTCCTTCTTTTGAACCATCTTACATTATTTTAAAGTCTTCCCTTTTGCATACCTTAAAATCAAAGACATAACACAAAAAAGAAATGAATATATCAAATTCCCAATTCTTGTTTCTCTGAAGTTGCAAATCCCATCAGGTTTCCGAAACTGACCCATCCCAACTTGACCTCACCTTAGCCCACTCCAAAATGCAGTCCAGGCAGAAGGTATGC